ATTATGGTTTAATAAATTTGATGAGTTGTTTTCAAAATATTGAAGAACCTGAGACTTGGTCAAGAGTCTATGAGAGGTCTAGTTTTGCCATACCCTACCTTCTCCAGCTCCAGGTGTTGTCAAACTTTTAAATTTTTTGGCAACATATCCCACATAGCTGCTTCAATTTTCATTTCCTATTTTCATAGAGATATTGACCATTTGCATTTCCTCTTTTGTGAATTATGTATTTGCATTCTTTAATCACTTTTTATAGGACTGTCTTTTTATTGCTAATTACTATAAGTCTCTTAAGTATCAGGAATATTAAGACTTAGTTTTTTATATGTGTTGCAAATAGTTTTCCCTTGGCTAGTCTTCATCTTTTGTCATTCAGGATTTTCATTTTTCATTAGTCAAACTGGTTAGCTTTTTCTTTAATGGTTTTTGGACTTCAACATTTTTAGGTCTTTCCAAGTCTGAGATAGATAAATATTTTTTCCATATTATGTGTTAATTCCTCTAACATCAATAGTTTTATGTTTTACAATGAGAACTTTACACAGTATAAGGGTCTAATTTTATTATTGTTCTAAATAGAGAGTCCATTGTCTCAACATCATTTAATAAAAAATCCATACAAGGCCATACAAAAAGACTTCATCCATTGAATTGAAATGCATCTTTATCATGTTAAATTTTCATATTTATTTACATTGGCTTTTGAACTCTAAGTTTTGTTTCACTGATTTATTTATCTGTTCATGGGGCAGTACCATATTTTGATTGCAGTAGCTTTTTAGTAAGTTTTCATATCTGGTAGGGAAGGCCCCATACTCACTATTCTTTTTTCTAAATTTCCTCGGTGATACTCACAATTTATTCTCCTTCACAAATTCAAAATTGTCTTATCTAGTTCCAAAAAATAAAAGTAAACCGTTAGGGCTTTGTTAATATTACATAAAACATTTTAATTAATTTGAGAAAGATTAACATCTTTTTGCTATTTACTTCTCCTAGTCAGGATACAATACTTCTGTTTATTTATTGAGATCTTGTTTTGTGTCTCTCAATGCAATTCTGCATTTTACTTTATATGTCGTTGATTTTTCTTATTAAAACTTATTCTTAGGCATGTTATTATTTTTGAAACTCTTGAGAACAGGGCAGTTTTCCATTTCTATTTTGAACTGGCTCAGTAATTCAAGAATGGCCTTGTTCTTTGTACATTTGTTCTGTATCTGGCCATATAACTAATTTGTCTTATTAGTTTCTAAGGTTTCTTAGGCATAGAATATCATCTGCAAATAATAATCCTCCCCATTCATACCTCTTATTTTGCTTTATTGAAGCAAATCATTGTTAAATAGTTGACAACAGTTATTCAGTAGTTCATGAGCAATACTCAGTAGTTGGTCGAGCCAGTTTGAACTGGGGTTCTGTCACTTGCAATCAAAAAGCTCTTATGGGAGTAAGATTACTGGCAAACGCAATGTCTCTAAATCCAGATGAAACACCTGGTGGCTTATCTCATTTCTTATTTTATTGAGGATGTACTATAAGTTTTTATCTACTACTCTGGCTGCTTACAAGGCTCAGTGCATTTCATAACAGTCATTGTCTCTCACTTGCTGGCAGCCTGATTTTTCCCTTTGGACTAAGCAGTGGTTTGGGATGGAGTGTGCACTCAGTGAATCTACAGCGTATACACTCTGGTTGTGTAACTCATCCTACTCACAGCCTGAATCAACTCCAGCTAGGACAGCATTCTGCAAGGACCTCTGCTCCCCTCGCCTTGCCCACAGTAGGCACCAGGGTTCTCACATGGTTGAAGAAGTCTCGTCAAGATTAGGTACACACACACACACAATCTAAGACTATAGTGATGGATTTATTTATCGTGATTGAAAGCAAGCTAAGGAGAATCAAAGTGTCATTTGGACTGCAGGATGTACAGACTTCTTAATGCATCCCAATTTTTCCAGAAACATTTTTTGGAATAAAAACAATCACTTTTCATCAGACATATGCTAAAAGTGAATTTCAGTGCTTTTGTAGCATAGAATGTTATTTTGTGTGAATTCAAGATGCTGTATCAGGGATTGGCAACCGTTTTTGTAAAGGGCCAGAGAGAAAATATTTTAGACTCTGCAGGCCATAGAAGGTATCTGTGGTGTCTTTTTTGCTTGCGTGTTTACAGCTCTTTGAAAATGTAAAAACCGTTCTTAGCTCACGGGTCATACAAAAACACACCATCAGATTTTCCTGTCCTTTTGGACATGGGGGAGATTTCTGGACCCTCAGGGAAAAGTCAGAAGTGACACAACTGAGGGAGAAGAGGACTCTACTAGGAAAACTTAAGGTTTCGATATACTGTAATACTCTACTCACTCTGAGAGAAAGCATTACACCGCCAGGTACTAAATATACTAGTGTGAGGGAATGCTACTGGTACAAGGCTGGATGACTCGGAGGAGGAATAATTTAAATGTCAAACGTTAGGGAGTTAACCTAAGTCCCTCTGATCAGCTGTGGGCCCGTGGTTTGCGTTTCCATTTATTTTTAAGAAAAGTGCTGTGATTGGATGCAAAGCCCACGTTGTTGCTCCTGCAGTTTGGGTTCCAACTCTCCCCCTACACACATCCTTCCATCAGCAACAGCAAATGCAGGGGAGCAGGGGGAGTTCGCAATGCTCCACACCTAGGTGCCCCCACTGAGGACCTGCACGTGTCCCTCCAGCAGTGCGGCTGAGAGGACAGGTGGTCTCTGTCCTGGCCCATCTGCACCCCGCTTCTCCTCGGCTGTGTCACTCGGGCTGTTCCCTGGGGGCCCAGAAATCTTGTCCCTGTATCCAGAGGGATGAGACATTTCCTAGGTCATGTCATTGGACTTTCTCTCCACTGCACCTCCCCGGGGGGGGTCTAGACTAGCTGTTCCCAAAGGTAAAAAGCAAAAGCTTCTTCTTTCTTCCTGGAAAAGATATCAATTCCACAGCCTTTATTGGGAAGCTTTCATGCAAGTTACTAAGAGATTCTGAAATGTGATGTCCTACACTGAAGCTTTCCAGACTCGAGTTCAGAATCCCGCTGGGCTAGGTCTGTGCTAGAGACAGGAGGGCTGGGGGAGTTGTGGCCCAGAGGGCGGAACTGGGAAGTGGAAAAACTCACACAATGTGCCCAAGTGCACAGAGAAGTGAGCCCGGAACCGAGTCCAGGGAAATCAGAGAGGGCTCCAGATAGGAGGTGATTCAGAACCGGTACAGGAGGGCTGTCTGGGAAAGTGGGGAGGGCATCCAGCCTCACAGATAGTCCAGTGCCACCCCTGCTTTGTTTTTTTTTCTTTTGCTGAGAAAGATTCACCCTGAGCTAACATCTGTGCCAACTGTCCTCTATTATGTATGTGGGTCACTGCCACAGCATGGCCACCAATAAGTGGTGTAGCTCCACAGCCAGAACCGAACCCAGGCCGCTGAAGCGGAGCATGCCTAACTTAACCACTGGGCCGCGGGGCTGGCCTGCCTGCTTTGTCCTCTTATGCCTTCTCGGACATAGGCCAGGGGCCTCTTGAACACCACGTCTCAGGCCTGCTGGGCCCCTTGTCAGCCTAGGACAGAGCTGGGGCCCACACTTGCCTTGGAAGGTGGAAGGAGCAGCGGCTCTCCGTCTTTCAGTGTGGGCTCAAGTCAGGTACCTGGGGCTTTGCAGAGGTGTCCTCAGTTGAGCGCCTATTAACTGGGAATAGCGCTCCAACAGCCTCAGGTGGTAGAAGCAGATGAAGGTGCCAGAGGCTCCTGGTTGTGGCTGTCGAGCGGTGATGGTGCAGCAGGTGGCTCTAAACCCTGCTGCTGTCATCCTCAGGCAGGTGTTAATAAGACAGCTGGCGGAGGCGAGCCTCACTCTCCCTGGCCACCTTCACCTGTGTGGCATCGTTTGTCTGTCTCCCCACCAGAGGTGGGCTCCTGGGGGCCAGGGGTAAGTCTCCATCTGTTTTTTTTTTTTTTTTTTAATAAAACATAGACGTTGTTTTTTAGAGCAGTTTTAGGTTCACAGCAAAATTGGGTGGGACGTACAAAGGCATCCCATGGACCCTCTCGATCCTTTTGGTCTGTAGTGGCCAGTCCAGCACTCAGGACCCGGCAGATAGTCAGCAGGTGTTTGGTGAATGAGTGACGCTTCAGCCAACTGATGGGCAAGTGCAATAATGATGTTTCTAGAAACTGGGGGGACTAGAATTTTCAGTCTATTAAAGTTAGGCATGCCTTTCTGATCTCGGCAAGACCCGGCTGTAGTTGTTTTGAGGGCAAGGAGTTGCAAGTCAGCTTCTCCCCTTTACTCCCTATCAGTGACGGTGCCAGCACCACCCAGGCCCCACCTGAGCCTGCAGAGAGTTCAGTGCGGGTCATGGGTCACCCAGAGGGGTTTAGAGATGATAAAGCCACATACGCTTTTATATCCACCTATTATATAGAGACATTTATAAAATATATTGAAATACTTAAGTTTATATATGTTTGCTCATATATTTATAAATATATAGAAAATGTCTTTTTATATATCTATTAAAGAATATATATGTATAAAAATTTTATATATGTCCAATGTTACATATATTGTAAATATAAAGTAAGCATAATTTTCAATGAGGAATTCTGATCCCAAAGAAGGCCCTTTTACAAAAAGCCTGGATGCAGCATAATTACATAAGTAAACTTTCATCAGAAGGCCTGTGGACACAGCAGTGCTTCCATCCTTGTTTCAGATGGCAGCTTAGCTCTTGGGAAAGGTAGGGTGTTGTACCTTGCTTGAGAACAGGAGTCCTGGTCTGACTCTCATCTGTCCGATGAGAAGGAAGTATCACTTGATGATAGAGTCTGTGTTATGCATGTGTGTGGGTGCTGTGTCTCAGACCCCACATAGGCCATTAAACTAAGAGTCACCAATAACACAATGTCCTTGGGTCTGCCCAGGGGACTTGCACTCAGGGATGTAATTAAACACCTTATCAAGAATTGCAGATCTTCATTCAGGAAAACATTAACATAGTTTTAATGGGGAAAGAAAAAGAAATCACTTCCAGTCTTTTTCTATTTTTGGTGAGGCCCAGCACAGCTGACTACTGGGTCTAGCCGGAAAGAATTTCGGTTCAGTCTACACAGGTCAGGGCAGTTGTTCGATCTCTGCAGAATGGGAGGCTAGATGAGTTTACACAGCAATAAAAGAGCCGGGCTTCCTCATTTCTCTCAGATTCTGGCTCCATTCCAATTTCAGGTTCAAATTTTTATCTGTTAAAGGGGAAACCCAATGCCTCCCACCAAGGTTATTTATTTCCACTTTTCATTATCAAAATTCTGAAACAAGCACAGAAGGAAGCCTTTCACAATCATGTCCCACTCCTCTCATCGTACTCATTGAACTGGGAGAACAGTGGCCCTACTCCTTCAAACACGATTCCGAAAGCTCCAAAATTTTCCACCCCAGTTCTCTTGCCAGTGCCAACCCTCCCCAAATTACAACTCCCCTTCAAAAGGCATCAGGATCCACACTGAGTCTTAGAAGGAGAGCACAATCCACTCTAAGAGCTCGGCCCATGTGCGTGGCTGGTGATCCCCTCTGCCAGAGAGGAAAATGGCCTGGGGCTCTCAGCCCTGGGCTTGCTGTGGTACTCTCCATGACCAGTCCACCTCCCCTCCCCACCAAACATCCTTCCTCATTCTCTTTTCAAGGCTACTTTCTACTTCAAGTTGCCCTTTAACTTCAAAGGTATTAAAACGTGGAGAAGTTTTAACCCCCTAGGAGCCCGCTTATTAATGCTGACAGTTTCTAATGGTGGAATTGCTGAATGCATCGGGGAGATGTTCTTATGGATGGGAGGCACCACTCTTAAGTCCACAAGCAGTGCAATCCATGAGAAAGGCTCTGGGAAGAAGACAATGGTAAATATCTACTAAATGTCTGGAGGCAGGAAGTCTTCCTAAATGTAGATGCAACAGAAGTGTCACGAAGAGTTGATAAATCTAGTAGTGGTGGGAAGAGGGATGTGACACCAGATACAGGATGAGCCAGGCTGTCTGTCCTCAGAACATGGAGACACTGTGGAGAGCTGGCCTAATCAGGGCCATGTGACGGCAAAGCAACACCCACATGAAATCAAGAGAACACAGAGACTAAGACCCTTGTGGAAGAAGCTGGTCCGCGGAGATGGGAATGTGGCAAACATGTAGAAGGAGACAGGGGCAAGAAACCAAGGGTCCAATGAGGTCAGACTGGCTTCCTGTAGGTGGTTTCTGGGAGTTTTCCCTATATCCTCACAATAAACCCCCTTTGTGATTGAGCTGATTTGAGTGGGTTTCTGTTCCTTGCACATAATTCCTTATCTCACATCTTGGGTCTAGGGAATTAAGAATTTCCAGACTTTAGAAACGTAATACGAAGAAAGGGTTATATGTGTGAACCTTACATCCCAGCAGGGTCTGAGACAAACAGTATCCATTAATCAAGGAGATTAATGTTCCTGTAAAAAATGTATGAATATTCACCCAAGTGAGACAACTAAGACTATAAACAGCCTCACATCAGCTGAGGTTGTGAGGCCAAACAAGGCAAAACACATCAGTTGGTCAGAGTCTTGTGGATTTCAGAATCGCATATAAATGATTTCAGACTGTACAAATAATGTGACAGCCTTCCCTGCTCCAAAAGTAAGGTTATAATTGCTTTGGGTAACTCTGGCATAAATGTTTAGTATTTGAGAGAAATTTGAAAACTCAAAATACAAATAGTCTAACAAAAATGAAGGCTGGCATTCACGACAAAATTGTCTTTATGTTGTATTTATATTATACCAGTAAGAAAAGAAAGACATTGCCTTTTTCAATTCGTTACTAAACGTTACTGTGATCACACAGCATATATTTAAGATAATTTAAGCTTCATATTTCTCTACAGAATTATCAATTTGTTACATCAGCAACAGTAAGAACATAGTGTTTAACATCTTTAAGACAGTTTGTGATTGTTGCGTAATTAATTACACGTGGAGACAGTGGTACATATTACTAATCGAATGCATGTAACGAGCATACCTCTGAATTCAGGGGTGAAATGAAGAGTCTGAAGAAGGGAATTGAGGTAACAGGTTCCACCCTGATTTCTGATTCCGCTTAAACTGATGAATTCTCTAGGAGCAGGGGCCTCCACAGCTTTGGTCTTTAATTTCTTCCCTTTTCCATACTGATTATGTGACACACTGGAATCATCCTCTTCAAATAAGTCCCCAAACATTGTGAAACTAAATACTACCCTTAAAGAAAAAGGCATGTTATATAAATGCTTTTAATTTTAACCCAGACTGTCCGCACATTTCGCTGTCTTATACTTGGGAGTATCTACTTTAAGTTGTTCCTTAGAAAGTATACACAGTAGTGTGGGTTTTGGAGGCAGCAAGACCTGGACATTTTCATCCCTGCTCCACACGACCTGGGTGACCCCGGCTAAGTTACTTAACTGTGTTCCTATATGTAAAACGGGAAACCGCCTATCACGCGGGGTCATTTCAACAATCACACGACATCACGAAAGAAAGGCATTTCGTGCGCGGGGTTAGGCACACAGTAAATGACAGCTGTTTTAAAAAGGCACATGGACATCGCTCTGAACAAGGGAAGACACCCCATCACCCACCTGATCCCACGCTGGGCGGCAGGGCTGAACCCAGATTCTGAGAGTTGACAGGGGCCCCGGGACCCTCAATCCCTCCTAAAATCTCTGCTTCTCACACTTGGACCAGATTATGACACCCGCCTGAACTCAATGGGACAAATTCATCTGTCCAGTAGTGTAGCAGATGGTCGCAGAGCGGGAGAGCCGGCGGAGGGCCATGGGGAGAGCCGGCCACGAAACTCACGGGGTTCCAGTCCCTCCGACAGGAACCCAGAGATCCCAGCACCACCGGGACCTGGAGGGCCGCTCAAGGCCTCACACCGAGTGCGGCGGGGGGTCACCCGGGGACGAGCAAGGCAGAGAGCCCAACGCAGGTGCTAAGGCACAGGAAGCACTCTGACGCCAGGACGTTCCTTTGCAACCCGTTCCTCGCAAGAAAAGCACGAAAACTGCAACGGCAGCCCCTCGCCCCGCCCTCCTCAGGCCCTGCCGCCCGCACGGCCCCAAGGCTCCCACGTCCCCGCGTCCCCAGCCGCCGGCTCCTCTTACTGCCTAAAGCCCTGACCCCCGCCACAGCCAAATCTCGAAGCGAACCGACGCGCCAGAAGCGGAGTCCGTCATGATAGCGAGGACGGCTCTCCCACGGCCCCGAGCGGGAGCGATCTAAGGAACGCGCGGCCTACGTCTCCCAGGATGCCCCGCGGGAGCGCCGGCCCGTCGCGCGTGGCCTTGTGGGCGATGTAGATCCTTAGCCCGGAGCGTTCGGGAGTCCGCGGGAGACTCGAGTGTTCGCCTCTTGTCTGGCTCGTGGCTTCCTGTGCTCGCTGGGTCAGTCGGCCATTCACTAATTCATTCACGTTTTTAGGTTTATAGTCATTGCTGTTTGCTATCCATACAAAGATCACTTGTCTTTTGCGCTGCCTAATTCCCAAGTTACCTAAGCGTGGGAAACATTTGTGTGGGGCTTCAAGTTCTCCTCCACTTTCCAAGACATTTTCCTGATGTATCTCGTGTGCAAACCCTGTGAATAAAGTTCCACAGAACCTCGAGCCTTTATAACATCCTCAGTGTGCAGTTCGTCTCCGCCAAGTGGAAGTAGCATACGGAAGACTGCTCTAAAAATATCTCGAAATGATCCCCTTGTCCACTTGGGTACCTTTAGTGGATTATTTCAAGACTGTAGGCTCTCCTGGCATCTCCCCTGCCCACCCCAGCCTCCATTGAGGCCTGAATGAGGGAGACGGAGAAAATCATTTTGGCTTCAGCTAAACGGTTGAGAGATTGAGAACAGCAACGGTGATTCGGTCCAGCGCATCAAACACTCCTCGTGTGCTCTCTGTGCGAGGCATAGCGGGCAGTGGTCCGAGTGGTTAAGTTCACGTCTCCGCTTCTGTGGCCCAGGGTTTTGCCGCTGGAATCCTGGGCGCGGACCCAGCACTGCTCATCAAGCCATGCTGTGGCAGGTCCCACATACCAGAACCAGAGGACCTGCAACTGGGGTATACAGCTCTGTACTGGCAGGCTTTGGAGAGAAGTAGGGGAAAAAAAAAAAAAAAAAAAAAAAGAGGAAGATTGGCAAGTGATGGTAGCTCAGGTGCCAATCTTTGGGGAAAAAACCCGAAACGGATGACAGTCACATTCCATTGTGCCGCTAGAATGGGCCATGTAGGTGGACTTGTCAATTTTATGTCAGCCATTTGGAGGCCTCTGGGTTTGGAGATGGAACAGGCAAGCAGCAAAGCCAGGCATTTCAGAGACCCTTGGGAACCTTCACTGGCAGTGAAGAGGTCCGTGGTGAGGGGTTCAAGTCTTTCCTTGGAATCTGGGATGCCAGTCTTTTGTGAGTCAAGAGTCGTCAGTAGTTGGGATAAAATCCAAATTTCCCTTTCGGATAGACTGCAAAAATACCAGCTTTCTTAACATTTACTTTCCTTTTTACCTTTCTGAATCCTCAGGGACCAAAAGCGTTGCTTAATAATTGTTTTTACAGTGGCCCTGCCGTTCGCTGTATGATCTGTGCCCAAAGGCAAAGGTTAGAGCTGTTTTTATCTGGAACACGCACAAATAGGTGTCTCAGCAAATGCTACTCATTCATTATTGTCCTAGTGAGTTAATCATAGGCAATGAAATTTTATTCTAATTGGTCGGATGGGTACACGCCCTCTCTTCGGGAGGTTTTGTGTCCGTACTTCCTCTGCTGGCTGTATTGCTCGCGCTTAGAGTCCGCTCAGCTGGACTGCTCCGGGCGGCAGTTATCTGATCCATAGCTCCTGCAATGTTGACCGGCTTCCTTCCTCTGTGTGTGTGTCTCCTGCTGATACCCGGCTTTGCCGATGCAGGCAGGCTGCTGGTGGTACCCATGGATGGGAGCCACTGGTTTACCATGCGTTCGGTTGTGGAGAAACTCATCCACAGAGGGCATGAGGTGGTGGTAGTCATGCCAGAGGTGAGCTGGCAGCTAGGAAAATCGTTGAATGTTACAGTAAAGACTTATTCCACGTCTTACACTCTGGAGGATTTGAATCATCAGTTCAGGATTTTTTCTAAAGCTCAGTGGAAAGCTCGGGTACAAGGTTTACTTTCCCTGTTAATGATTTCATCTGGTAGTAGCTTTTTTGAATACTTTTTTTCACATTGTAGGAGTCTGTTTATCGACGCCAAGTTAGTAAAATACCTAGAAGAGAATTCTTTTGATGCGGTCTTTCTGGATCCTTTTGATATGTGTGGCTTAATTGTAGCCAAATATTTTTCCCTCCCTTCTGTGGTCTTCACCAGGGCACCATTTTGCCACCATCTTGAGGTTGGCTCGCAGTGTCCCGGTGCTCCTTCCTATGTTTCTAGATTTCTCTCAGGGTTCTCGGATGCCATGAGTTTTACTGAGAGAGTGTGGAATCACATCTTCTACTTGGAGGAATATTTATTTTGCCGCTACTTCATCAGGACTGTTTTAGAATTTGCTTCTGAGATTTTCCAAAAGACGGTCACAGAATATGATCTCTTCAGCCATACGTCAATTTGGTTGTTACGAACTGACTTTGTGTTTGACTATCCCAAACCGGTGATGCCTAACGTGATCTTCATCGGCGGTATCAACTGCCATCAGGGAAAGCCACTGACAAAGGTGAGTTACCTTTCCTGTAGCATATTCAGAATAATCTGGTGATGGACCTAAAAAGATTCCTTACTAAACTGAGATTTGTCATTGACGTGTGTCACATCTGTAATTTCTTTCTAGTTGAACAAATTATTTTGCACCAATTCATTTAATTGTGTTATCAAATTCAACAAACCTGCCCTCTTTGATATGCACGTGGGTACAATCGATATAATTGTATTTAATTTCCAGGCTGGTTTTTTTTAAGTCTCTATGATATAATTTTATTTTTTGAATGTGTAAAAGATTTGCATGGTTCAAAGTCAAAATTATAAAATAGCTGTACCCAGAAGTCTCAATTCCGTCCATGTATCTTCCTCCTTGTTCCCATGTGAAATCATTTCTGGTTTATCTTTCCTGGGTTCCTTTTGCAACACCAGCCATTTATGCATTTTCACAAAAGTTAGTATATACATTTCCTTTGTATGTTGATTTTCAATTAAAAATGTTTCCTGAAAGTCACTTACCAGTTCATAGAGACCTTCCTCATTCTTTTGTCCAGCCACATAGTACTCCATTGTGTGGCTGTACCAGTCCTCATTCAATTTGTGTTATGGATGGACACTGGATTGTTTCCAGGTCTTTGTTATTAAAATAATGGAGTAGTGGGCAACCTTGCACGTATGTTGTATTCGTGGAGGTGTCTTTAATTCCTAGAAGTAGGAGTAAACATGTACTTATTTTTTTATTGTCACATAATAGTTTACGACATTGTAAAATTTCAGTTGTAGATTATTATTTGTTAGACACCGTATAATGTGCCCCTTCACCCCTTGCTCCCACCCCACCCTCATATTCCCCCTGGTAACCACTAAACTGTTCTCTTTATCCGTAAATTTGTTTATCTTCCACAAATGTTTCCCACCGTTGGTTTATATTCTCTGTCTGGCTTATTTCGCTTAACACAATACCCTGAAGCTCCATCCATGTGGTTGTGAATGGGGTGATTTTGTCTTTTCTTGCGGCTGAGTAGTCCCCCAGTGTATATATATATACCACATCTTCTTTATCCTTTCAGCCATTGATGGGCACTTGAGTTGCTTCCATGTCTTGGCTATTGTGAATAATGCTGCAATGAACATAGGGGTGCATAAATCTCTCCGTATTGTTGATTTCAAGTTCTTTAGATAAATACCAGTAGTGGCATAGCTGGGTCATATGATATTTCTATGTTTAATTTTTTTGAGAAATCTCCATACTGTTTTCCATAGTGGCTGCATTCCCATAAGTGTATGAGGGTTCCCTTTTCTCCACAACCTCTCCAACATTTGGTATTTTTTGTCTTAGCGATTGTAGCCATTCTAATGGGCAAAAGGTGATATCTAAGTGTAGTTTTGATTTGCATCTCCATGATGATTAGTGATGTTGAGCATCTTTTCATGTGCCTATTGGCCATCTGTATATCTTCTTTGGGAAAATGTCTGTTCACATCCTCTGCCCACTTTTTGATTGGGTTGTTCTTTTGGTGTTCAGTTGTGTGAGTTCTTTATATTTTATGGAGATTAACCCCTTGTCGGATGTATGATTTGCAAATATTTTCTCCCAGTTGATGGGTTCTTTCGTTTTGATCATGGTTTCCTCTGTCTTCCAGAAGCTCTTTAGTCTGATGAAGACCCAGTTGTTTATTTTTCCTTTGTTTCCCTTGTCTGAGTAGACATGGTATTCAAAAAGATCCTTTTAAGGCTGACGTCAAAGAGTGTACTGCCAATATTTTCTTCTAGATGTTTTATGGTTTCAGGTCTTACCTTCAAGTCTTTGGTCCATTTTGAGTCTATTTTTGTTTATGGAGAACGATAGTGGTCTACTTTCATTTTTTTGTATGTGGCTGTCCAGTTTTCCTAGCACCATTTGTTGAAGACACTTTCCTTTCTCCATTGTATGTTCTTAGCTCCTTTGTCAAAAATTAACTGACTGTAGCTGTGTGGTTTTATTTCTGGGCATTCAATTCTGCTCCATTGATCTGTGTGCCTGTTTTTGTACCAGTACCATGCGTTTTGATTACTATACCTTTGTAGTATATTTTGAAGTCAGGGATTGCGATACCACTTGCTTTGTTCCTTTTTCTCAGGATTGCTTTGGCTATTTGGGGTCTTTTGTTGTCCCATACGAATTTTAAGATTCTTTGTTTTATTTCTGTGAAGAATGTCATTGGGATCCTGATTGGGATTGCATTGGATCTGTAGATTGCTTTAGGTAGTATGGACATTTTAACTATGTTTATTCTTCTAAGCCATGTGCATGGAATAGCTTTCCATTTCTTTATGTCATTGTCAATGTCTTTCAGGAAAGTCTTATAGTTTTCCTTCGATAGGTCTTTTACCTCCTTGGTTAAATTTATTCCTAGATATTTCATTCTTTTTTTTGCGACTGTAATAGGGATGGTATTCTTGAGTTCTCTGTTAGTTCATCAGGCTGTGTTTTTTAATACTGTTTTTGGAATAAGACTGAAAAACAGTAAGAAATGAAACTTCCCTTTTTGTTAATTCAATGGCACTGCCTCTAGGAAAAGGTTCTTAGCAGTTCTGTATGCATCTTTTCCAATATTTCTGAAATTATCTTATATGTATGCATATACCTAATGTAAATTCTCACACCCATTTTATTAAAATGAAATCTAGTATCAGACTGGACACAGTGTTCTTTAGCTCTCTTTTTCCACTTGCCAATAAATTGTGGACATCTTGACAGGCATTTCATACAAACCTGTCACATTCTTTTTAATAATTGCATAAAATTCTTTGCTTTTAACATACCATAGTTTATTTAACTAACTAATATTGATAGATATTTAAGCTTTTTCCACTTTTTAGTTTTATTAGCAAGATTGAACTAAACATTGTTAAATAATTTCTTTCCGTTCATACATTTAATATTCTTGCTCTTATCTCAGTAGGCCAGAGTCCTTAGGATGAGGGTTGTTGGGTCAAATGATATGCACATATTGTATTTTAATAAATTTGACGAGTTGTTTTCAAAATCACCCTGACACTTTGGTCAACAGTATATGAGAGTTTTAGTTTTTCCACACTTACTCCAGCTCCAGATGTCGTCAAACTTTTAAATTTTCTAGCAACATATCCTACACAGCTGCTTCAATTTTCATTTCCTATTTTCACAGATATATTGGCCATTTGCATTTCCTCTTTGTGAATTATGCATTCATATTCTTCAATAATTTTTATAGGGCTATCATTTTATTGCTAATTACTATAAGTCTCCGGTGTATTAGGAGTATTAACACTTAGCTTTTTATATGTGTTGCAAATAGTGTTTCCTGGCTATTCTTTGTCTTTTGTCATTCAGGATTTTCGTTTTTTGATAGTCAAACGGGTTAACTCTTTATGTATGGTTTTTGGACTTCAACTTGCTTAGGTCTATTCCAAGCCACAGATATATAAACATTTTCTGCATATTATGTCTTAATTCCTTCAATGTCAACAGTTTTATTTCTTACAGTGAGAACTGTACATGGTATAAGGATCTAACTTTATTATTTTTCTAAGTGGATAGTCCATCGTCTCAACATTTAATAAACAGTCCACCCTTCAACTACTGAATTGAGATGCATCTTTACCATATTTAAAATTTTCATATTTATCTGGATTTGCTTTTGAACTCTAGATTTTGTTCCAGTGATTTATTTATCTATCATGGGCCAGTATTTTTTATTGTATTTATGTATTGTATTTATGATTGTACCATATTTTGATTGTAGTAGCTTTGAAGTAAGTTTTAATATCTGGTATGGTGAGCTCCATACTCACTGTTCTGTTTTCTAAATTTTCTCTGATTCTCAAAATTTATTCTCCTTCACAAAACTGAAAACTATTTTATCTAGGTCAAAAAAATAAAAATAAACCTTTAGGGCTCTCTTAATATTACATAAAGTATTTTTATTAATTTGAGAAAGATCAACATCTTTTTGCTATTAGCTTTTCCTATTCAGAATAGAGTATTTCTGTTTATTTATTCAGATCTCGTTTTATGTCTCCCAATGAAATTTTGCATTTTACCTTATATATCTTTTATTTTTCTTACTAAAATTTATTCCTGGGCATGTTATTATTTTTGGAACTCTTGTGAACAGGGCATTTTTTCATTTCTATTTTGAACTGGTTATTAGTCATTACAGTATAGCCTCGGTTTTTGTACGTTCTGTGTCTAGCCATATTACTAATTTCTCTTATTAATTTGTAAGGTTTCTTAGGCATACAGTATCATCTGCCAAGAATAACCCTCCCCATTGATACCTCTTATTTTGCTTTATTGGAGCAAATCGTTGTGAAATAATTAGTTCAAAACAGTTTTCAGTAGTTCATGAACAATGTTGAGTAGTTGGTCGGGCCAGTATGAATTGGGGTTTGGTCACTTGCAATCGAAAAGCTCTTACAGGAGTAAGCTTCCTGGCAAATGTGTTATGTCTAAATCCAGATGAAACACCTGGTGGCTTAACTCGTCTGTGGGTTTGTTGGGCAGGTGCTATGTGTTTTTATCTACTGCTCTGGCTGCTCACAAGGCTCAGTACATTTTGTAACAGAGTCATATTCTCTCACTTGCTGGCAGCCTGATTTTCCCCTTTGGACTAAGCAGTGGTTGGGGATGGAGTGCACTCAGTAAATCTGCGCTGTGTACACTCTGGTTGTGTAACTCATCCTACTCACAGCCTGAATCAAGTCCAGCAGGGACAGCGTTCTGCAGGGACCTCTGCTCCCCTCGCTTTGCCCACAGTGGGCACCAGGGTTCTCATATAGTTGAAGAAGTCTCACTGAGATTAGGTACACACACACACACAGACCATAATGATGGATTTATTTAGCATGACTGAAAGCAAGCTAAGGAGAATCAAAGTGTCATTTGGACTGCAGGATGTACAGACTTCTTAATGCATCCCAATTTTTCCAGAAACATTTTTTGGAATAAAAGTAATCACTTTTCATCAGGCATATGCTAAAAGTGAATTTCAGTGTAGCAGAGAACGTTATTTTGTTTGTGTAAATTCAAGATACTGTATCAGGGATGAGGAA